TTATTCTTCATTGCAGAACCACTTGATAGGAATCCGGAACTCAAACAGATCTCTGCCTTGCAAAAGGCAACAAGCCCAGCGATAGTGCTCCCAGCAGCATTCCCCCGAGACCAGCCAATTCAGCAATGATCAGTTTGCTAACTACATGGTCGAACTACACTCAAACCTTGTTTTCCAGCATATGTAAAGTCTGTTCACTGAAGAGTCGCATTATCAATTCTCTCCTTTTAAAAGCTTAAAGTAAACCAATAAATTTTTTTAAAAAAGGCAACCTTTAAAATGGCATGAGTTCAAGTCTCACTGTCTTTTGATTGGATTACTCCAAGGATTACTTCAAATAACATGAACAGCAAACTATTTTCTCAGTAAGACAACTGACCAGTTATCACTCTCATCACTATGAACTTCAGATAAATTTTACATTCTTTTCTTCATATCGGAGATAATACTAAGAAGTCGCTCTGTAAAGTTATCTTTATAATTTCAAATTTGATCTGAATTAGGGAACAAACAAAAAATGTTAGTCTTCAACTTTCTTTAGGAAAACATCTGTTTTAATTCAGATTGAAAAAGTAATAAGCATAGTTAATAAAAGTAAAATATACCACAGATACCGCAAAACTGAAATAAGAACATAAAATGCAAAAGGACAGGTAGACATTTCTCAAGATGAACAAACACAGAAATACTGAAACAGTTCATCACTGTGTTCTCATTTTTGAGGAAGGACAATAGGAGGATCTTGTAAGACTACATAGAAAGATTAGATATTTTCTATTCAACTTGTTCGGAGATGTTATTACACACCTCTAGAGCAGGTTAGACTTGAACTGGGCCTCCTAGGAGAGGTAGGGGAACTAATATTGCACCTCAAGCATCACCCACTTCCAAAATAAAATACTGAAAATAATCAGCACATCAAGCACTGTGAACATGGGAAAGTGGATCCACTGTTAAACAGCATTGATGTAAAGCATGACTGAATAAACACTTAGATTAGATAGATATATTTATGCCTGTTTTGTTGTGTATCATAATCAAATCCATTTTGTTCTCAGTAGTTCTTTGCATTTCTCTGTCAAGTTAACAATAACAGTCTCATTATTAATCTCTTATCCATCAGTGATTAACTACAAACATTAATGTGTTCAATTCAGTAACCCATTACAAGTTGTGAAGCAAATATTACAGCAAGCCAACTCATATCTGTGTGTGCAGTTCACATACCCAAAACAGACAAAGTGCCAGGCAGAGTTGCAACACATATATTAACATCACCTCCTTACAAACAAAAGTTTAACTTGTGAGACTATGAATCCCAAAAACATATTTGCTGAAAGAACAGATGTTGTAATGATAGCATGTTTGGAGTTACAGTTAATTTCTTACAGTCAGTGATACTGTCTGTTATTCCTCTTTATATTGTCAAGTTTTTCTTTCATGGGGTGTAATTGGTGTTCTGGAATTTACTTGCCCTGATGGGCTACAGCCAAGTTTGTTTTCCCAAATTAACTACTGGCTGATTTTGTTCTCAAGCTATTTCAAATGGCTCAAATCTTATTGACATTTAATAATTTGTTCCTTAAGAACTGCTAGTTTATTTCAAAGCTTTTGGTTTTAGGTCCTGCATTCTTCTAATCCTATCAATATTTTAGCCTTCTGATGGCCAAAAGTATTTTCTCCTTCATGACCTGCTCTTGAGGCCAGCCTCAACTTTTATCCTTTTTGAGTTTTTTTGCAAACCAGATCTCTTCCATTTGTTGCTTTAATGATTATTTATTTTTCACAGTGTTCTGCTTGAATTCTTTCATGAAAGCATCATTGTTGGCATTTAGTTTAGAAAGGATTTACAGCTTCCTGTCATGTGTGCTGTGCATCTTCAGCTGTTTTTGTAGATCTGTAATTTTCTCTAGCAACGTTTTGAACTGATAATAATGGTTCTGTAGCTGCTCCTGTTGAGCTTGATATGGTTTACAAGCAAGAAGCTACAGAACTCCATATAAACTGACAATCTTTTGACTCAATTGATAATACAGAACTCATAGCTTCTCCTGCTTCATTTCTTTCTCTTCCAGCTCTTCAATTATCCTTATAGGCTAATCAGAAGTATCCCCTTATCATCGCTATTCTTAATTTTCAATTGATCCTGACCTAGTAGGTCAGCCATTTCCTCTTCAACTTTCATTTCTCTCTTCACAAAAGAGAGTTGAGATGTTGGTTCTACTCGTTCAGAAAAAATGAAGTGTTCAGTTCTTCTTTCAAATTTATTACTTAAAATGTTTATTGAATAGTATGCTACAATTTCTGATCTGTCTCTGATGTATGGATTATAACTACTGCAAGGTCGTGGCAAGCTGGTACACTTGCAATTGCTGATCCTGCATTGTTTGTGATACAGAACACCTGTGACATCCAGGCAGATTAAGTACACTTGCAATCCAACGCTATTCACCCTGCACATTGTATTGGTGAATCATTTAACCTTCGTAGGGTTTGTGACGGCATTCCATATCTGTGGGTGCATGTAGTTTAAAATTAACAGGGATAGTGCATTGACGCTTGGATCTTTGCCATCTTATCCAATGATGTACAGTCACCAGTTTTCAGAGGGCAGTTAATTTGCAAACAATTTGGATGGTGTGATTTGCTGAAGATTGGGGTTCCTTAAACTAAATTTTCCTGCTATTTACCATATAGCATGCGACTGTTTGCAACAGTATAGACAGCTATTACTATGGTAATTAACTTTCCAAAATGCTAGCATATGAAAACATGAGGAAAGAATTACAAAAGAAAACCTGAGGTCACAATATCCAATGAACTATCATCAACAATTTATTAGACACCAAATGTATCCTATAATCAGTGTATTATTTGAGAAAATAAGTAATATGTATTCTTAAAAAGAATGGCAAACTAACCCGCAGATAAAGGTGGATAAGGGGACTGTAGTCATTCAATATCATTCAGTGATTGCTACATTTTGAGATCACCGATATACTGAATGCAACAGAAGAAAGAATGAAAATGTTGCAACATGAATCCTTACCACTGCTCATCATGTTGAATGAACTATCTGCTCAAGTGAAGAACAAGGACAGCTGTCACCAAAGATCACCCAAAACGTCTAAGAAAAACTGCACAATATCAGAGATGTGTAAGTACACTGCCTCAACTCTCCATGTTACAGAATGGGTTCAGGATCAGTGAAGTGTACTCATCTGTCACGGGTTGCATATTTCCTTTCTTTGCTAGAAAAGCTCAGCAGGTCTGGTAGCATCTGTGAAGGTAAAAACAGAGTTAACGTTTCGGTTCCAGTGACCCTTCCTCAGAACAGTTCTGAGGAAGGGCCACTGGGCCCGAAAAGTTAACTCTGTTTTTTCCTTCACAGATGCTGCCAGACCTGCTGAGCTTTTCCAGCAACTGTTTTTGTTCCTGACTTACAGTCCACAGTTATTTCAGTTTTTATTTACTTTCTTTGCCTAGTTAACTAATTTAGCACACCTAGACTGCTGCTTCTTAACAAACTCAATAAACTTTCAAACTATAGTTTGTTACAAAGTGTAAACTGCCAATATTAGGTCACTGTGATTGCACAAAGTCCTTAAAATCAACACATGCCACTGACTTCTTCCTCAAAATGGACTGTGCGAAACATGCGTTCATCATTCCTTGTTTTGTCATGTACAGTTCAATGAACAAACTTTGAGAGTAGGCGCTGATAAACTACTTGCTCGCAAAGCATCTCAGTCAAGTGCGCTCCTGTTGTCACCCAACATCTACAAACATGAAGCTCAGAACGAGCAAGGCAATGTTCAATTTGTCATTGCTTGCTTGGAGTGTGAGGCTAATTATAACTCTATTGTTGGCATCCCAGATCAGATAATCTCACTGAGAACAGGCCACGGCCTTAAATTTAGAAAGTTCCTGTTTTGCCTGAAGAAAATGGACAAGATTTATTAATTTGATTCACTGAATTGGATCCTCTTACATCTGGGAATCCGGCATAATTTCTGTCCTGCACACAGCTATGCCTAGAAACTGGGTTCCTCATTTGCAAAACATATTTAGCCAAAGCACTGATTATATTTCATGGAATTATGACTGATATTAACACTATAATCTTGACAGTATTGATAACAATTAATTCAGTAAGAACTTGAATTCTTACTTCAGATGGCAGAATTAGTGTGTGCTTAGCATAAGTTCAAGATCCAGCGAGATACCAAAACGAATATTTAGTTGACAGCAATGGATTAAAAGCAGTGCTTTGTCTGAGGTGCTTCCGATTTTAGCTTGTTTTTATCTAAACCCTGAAGCTGAATCATGGCTATGAATTGTACCATTTATTTTCAATCACAGTTTTGGATGGAAGGAGTGCATTAGTTGATTGGCATTAAGGTTTATTCCAGATGACATAAACAGCTAATTCTTTCTTGAGTAAGGCAATTTAATGGGTACCACTCTCACCGTGAAAACCTTCAGACAATGTTTATATTTTCCTTGCATGAGAAAGGCTATGCTGGGAGTGAATTTTTGGAAAATAGTCTTCATGGTTTGTAATAATGTTAAGTCCCAACAGAACACCAGAGGAATCACAAGAGCTTACAGAAAATATAAAAAACTCACAGAAGATATGGTTCACAAGAAGTGCACACATTCAGAAGTTAAAAGACAATTAATGCTTAAGCAAAATGACAGGGAGTTTCATAGAATATAATGACACCATCTAATAACTATGAAATGTCAAGTATATCCGAGATGAAGTTTTGTGGACTTCATAAGCAACAAACTCCTGAATTTGAAAATACTTGTCTTCAATTCTGGTGGGGCAAACATATGCCTAAGAGTAAAAAGTGGCTCTCATTTTCCTTCGTGAATCCTTCAGCTATTTTGAAAGCTCAGATTAAGTGTCAAACTACACAAATTGTAGCAGCAATAAGCCAAGTTGACATCCCATTTAAAAATTCTCCACTGAGGTAGTAATAACTCAAATAAACTTACCACTCCTATAGAAAAGTAGTTGTTGATAATAGTATAAGGTACAGGATCTCCCTTTTCTTCTTTGTCATGTGGTATCACCTCAATTTTCCACCTATCCAGCATGACCACTGTGCAGTTCTCAATGTCTTTAATTATCTTCATCAGACTTTCCCCTTCATAACCTTACAGGGAATCAAAAAAAAAGATCAAATTGGTTAAAATGTGTGATGATGATAAATCAATGGCATCATACAATTAAAAGACATAAGGTCGAAAATGAACATCCAGAGACACTCCACGGTTCATTTTCAGGTTCCTCTCTCAAATCTAAACATAACTGATTCTATCTCACATTCTACAGTGCTGTCAATAGATTGGTCAATGGAATAAAACAACCAGAATATGTTACAAAACAGCCTTAGAAATCATTAAGCCATTCAGTTAAAGTAACTAAGCTCAGTGCTGGAATTGCATTTTGCTTCAATGTTTGAAGGCTAATTCTGTGGTCAAGTGCATCCAGCAAGCACGAGGTGGAAGGGACATGGAAATTAATTTAAAATGAGTCCATGATTAACCAGCCTGTGCACTCAGCAAGTACGGTTTCATGCGGGGTACACTCAATTACTATTGTCTCTATTGTCTCAATTTAACTGGTTTAAGTAGAACAGATGGTGAAAAAAATGTTTTTAAAATGCAGTAGGTAATAAATTAACTTGAAGAAATTCCGACATTTTTCCTTTAAAAATTGGCTCTCTCAAAATATTTTACATTTTCTCTGCTGCGCAAATGACAATTTCACAGATGCCTTCAATTTTAAGGACTGGACGGCTGACATAATTTTTTTAGAATTCTGCCCTGAATGCAGCAGCTAGCTAGCTTATTCAGTGAATTTGGAAAGCCTACAGATCGATACGACAATTACACTGGGAAAATGATGGTTCATCTTGACAAACTGAAGTATGCTGTATGTGGCTGCATCATTTACTTAAGACCATCATTAAATATTGAGATGGACCTTCCAATTTGGATAAAAGGAGCAAATTAAGCTCAAAACTGCATTAGTTTTCCAAAATTAATTCTGGATCAAGTATCCCCTCAAATTCATCTTTTATGCAGAAACCTAAATTAGTCAAAAAACCAGCTACATCACGCACTGTTCCAAAACATTTTTTCTTTGCATTCATATCTTTTTCTTGATATTTGCAAATTCTAACCATGAAAACTTTCACTAAAACAAATTAAAATTTATTAATAATAAAAAAAAACTATTGTCATTCAGGTCGCAAGGTAAGTGGCATAAAGTGGCTGTAGTCTTCAAAACTTTCTGAATATAAGGACAGCAGGTCACCTTGTTGTTGCAATTATGGTTAAGCCAGTCTTCAATGTTGCCAACTTGTAGCAATATTAACAGGACCCCTGCAGTTCATGGACATCCAGACCTAGCCAAGTGTTACCACAAGTGGTGGCAACCCCATTCACACTGTAGTCTTGAAAAGATTTATCTGAATTGTCCATATTTGATTGGGGCAAAGGGAAGCTTCAAGAGCTTTCCCACTGTCTTCTCCACTTGTGTTTTAATGGAACACAAAACTTCTTCCTGGAAGATCTTCCACCCAGCACCAGCAGCTATTATCCTGCAAAGTTCTGGCTCCTCTATCTTCACTGCCATGAAGGCCAAAAGTTAATCACAAAAAGTGAGCATTTTTAATAAAAAATCTCGAGTTCATCACTTGGGAGTAACTTGCTTTTAAGTAACAAAAACTACAGAATATTTTGCTGGTGCAGAACAGTTTGGTGTTGCGGCTATGGTGCTGTGTTAGGACATGGGACACCTGAATGTCCACAGACTGAGGAACAGACTTTGTGGCTTTCATTTTCTGGTGACGAGATCTCATGGCGGATTCAGGAGAGTAATTTGGACATTTCCTTTTCTTTTGGCCGTTCCTGTTATTTCTGCTTCTGTTTTTAATCCTGTCTTTTGTGCACTTAAGTTTGCACTGGAGAATGGCAACATAATGTACTTTTTACGGCACTCCTGTATTCCTGCACTTGAGTACAGGTGACATTAAAATCTAAATCTAAACCATTTATCAGTTTTGCAAAAGGTATGTTTTAGTGTCCTTGCACCTGATTAAATAAAAAGACAACTTTAAAAGCTTTGCCAATGGATGGCAAACTGGTACGATTAATTAAACTTCCTGCAATGATGAATTTGATCAAGGAGAAGAAAGGGGGCAAGAGAATGTTTTGTGTGGAGGAAGCTATTTTAAACTGATGCAATAGGTTGCAGAATCTGGATTTTAAAAAAAATATAAAGTTCTTCAATCTTTTGCATTACTTTATTTGATCTTCAGAGAATCACATAACCTAGAGGAAACAATACTCCAAGATGGATTTCGACAGTCTAAAATATTGGAAGTGAATTTTTTTCTCTTACCTCCCCCTGATCTAAGGCATCTTGCCAAGTCATTGCCTGTTCCAAGTGGAAGAACTGCCACTGGAGGATGTTGAGGCAAATTTGCTTTGTCTATGAAACAAGCATACATTTTCCAATACATGAAGTCAGCTGTGCCATGTCACAGTTTTTAACATTCTGTAAAAGTGACACTACGAAAAATAAATCCTCTGAAAGCATGATTTAATCAGGCAAATAAGGTATAGTTCCTCTTTGTATATTTCCTATTACCCCGAAGAATATTTTACTGTTTGGAAGTAGTAATGAAAGATCATTATTAATTTGGATTTGCTGTTGGAAGTTTTAACATCTGCAATAGTATGCCAACAGTCCTGGTGGAAAGGAGCTACAGATCATCCTCACAAACATTCTGCAATCTCTAATATGGCCATGTTTAGGATGGTTCATACTGACTCATTAAAGGGAAAGCGATTAGTCCAATCCAACTGCAAAGTACAAACTGAATAATATTTTGGTTGCAAATCTTGCACTATGAAAGGTTATCTTGCTCAGGATAAAATCTAGCTGTGTCCAAACAAAATGTAGATGTTATTAATATAAAATGAATGATGAATTAATATAGACTGTTTTCTGCATCTCTTGATTACTACATTTATTTTAGCAGTTAGAATTAGATGTGAATGATGAATTAGAAGTCCTGCCCTCAATTAACTTGTGATAATTGATCAAATCTTCTATACTCATTTGCAACATTACAAGTACTTACACAAAGCATTTAGTGTGGGGTGGGTTTCAGGAGATGACTAATTCTAAAATCAAAATTTATATGAAATTTAACAGGAGGGGCAATTTCTGTTTAGGGATCATGGGCTTCTCTTTACCAAAAGTGAAATGGGTGCAGACCTGCTGTGCCAGATCCTTGACCCACAACAACTCCCCAGGGTTGCTGAGACATTGATGAAAATGGTGCAACTGGGCCTGTGTTTGAATAACTATCTGATACGTACAAACAGGTTTCTCCAGTTAGGGTTGTGGGATAACAATTATGGCTGGATTATTGTCAGACTAATTCTGCTTTGTTCAGCATAGGAGCATTGAAGCCAACTGTAGTGCTCTTCCTGCTACCTCGGCTAAGAGCTATGGATCAAGAGATAGTAGGAACTGCAGGTGCTGGAGAATCTGAGATAACAAGGCGCAGAGCTGGATGAACACAGCAGGCCAAGCAGCATCATCCCTCTGATGCTGCTTGGCCTGCTGTGTTCATCCAGCTTTGCACCTTGTTATCTATGGATCAAGCCTGGCCGTCTTGTCTGGTCTACATAGCTCAATTACTCTCCATGATAAACGTACTGAATCATGGGGAGAATTGCACAACTTGCATTATTAGTTAGTAGTAGTGTTTGCATCCTATATCCTTTCAGTTAGAAGCACGAATCAATCCGACAAAAGGCATCACTATTTACACACGAATTCACAGAAACACTTTAATGCATTTTAATCTTTTCTTTGTCGAGGGGCATCTGGCTCTTTCAGTGATGGGCTTCGAAATGAAGTTTGGCTGCTGTACCTTGTGTCTGACTGGATTATGATGGTGTTAGTAATCTCTTGTTTGTTGCTTTTGTTATTTTACTTGTATCATCACCAAGACAACCTGGAACAGCTTTATTTAGTATTTTGAATATAGCAGCACATTAAGAACGCACTTGTTTTTGATGGACCATTCTCTAACTATGTCAAACCATGTAATTTATATCTTGTATTTCTTGGAAAGTCACTGGCTTAAAATACAAAGAAAAGTTCATTATTATGAAACCAAACTGCAACTCATTTTTTTTTCTTTCATAGAATGTGATCGCTGCTGAAAATGCCAGCAGTTATAGTCTGGGGCTATTTCTCAGGGACAGAGCGGCTTGCTAGGCCTTTCTAAGGGCAATTAAGTGTCAACACACAGCTGCAAGTGTGGAGTCACATATAGGTTGGACCATTTCTTTCCCTGAAGGATATTATGAAAGTAGAAAGGTTTCTACACCAATCAATGGTAGTTTTATTGTTAGTTCAATCAGAGATTTATCAATTGTACTTAAATTTCACGAGATGACATGTTGGAATTTGAACCTGCTTCCCCAGAGCAATATGCTCTCTGGATTATTAGTCCAGCGGCATTAGCACCACACCATTATCTCCCCTTTTTGTGAAGTCAATTCAAATGGTAAAAGATTATTAAAGATGGGTCAACATTGTGTGTGAGATGATGTGAAAGTGTGGAGTGGGGGGTGAGGTGGCAGGGAATTAAAAATTATATACATTAAAACATTAATTTTATTTAAAAACAAACACTGGCCATGACATCGGGGATGTAGAAACCTCCCTGTTTCTCTTATTCAATACATTGCTTGATCTTTCTGTTTGAATCCCTAGAATTCCTTCAGAACGTTACAGCCATTGAACAAATCTCTACAGTTGTAACTTTCAGCACCCCAGACCATCCATCTTCCTGAAGTAAAAGCAATGGTGAGATTGGGCCATAAAACAGAAAGAAAATCACGTAAGAGCCTTGATCTAAGAATATGGCACAAATACATATTTTAGATCCTGGCCAATTTGTCATGAACTTGGACACTGTCTGTTTCATTTAAGATTGCCAACAATTATCTGTTGTCCTGGGCATATCGGTGAGGCCTAATGTAGCTCACAATCTCACCTATGCAATCTAGGATCCATCCGACTGTTCCATCTCCACCGCAAGCCAAAATTCTGAAGTCTGGAACATCTCGAAAAAAGTTTAACCTGAAGGAAAAGTGATTAGTTGTGAGTGACAAGTGGCTTGTTTTAAACCCACAGTTTACCACACTTCTCTTTTCACACTGAATGTGGGGACACAAATGAAGAAATTTTAAATCCGGGGAAAGCAACTCAATACATTTCATCTCCTGCGAATATAAGTCCATGGGGCTGATATTAAACAGTTCTGTTTTCCAGCTATTTCCCGAACTATTCCCATTTTGCTGCTTTATCCCTATGCTCTTTTTTTAATTCTTCCAGTAATTAATTAGGTAGAATCATTTTAAGTTTTACAATTAGAGTACCATCATCAACTGTAGCAGAGGATTTCATATTTTGAAAGCTCCTTGCATGAAGGCATTTTTCTCAATTTCTCCTTTTATGTATCTTATTGTCCTTTTCTTAAGATTATAATCTTGTACCTTCAATTTATACAACATGAGCAATAATTCAACTTTACCTCAACTACTCCTTCTGTAATTTAAAGCACCATCATCAAATTCTCCTCAAATACTCTTGCTGTCATAAGTGTACTTTTCCAAGTGAGTTTGTCTCCACATTCTGACAAATCTCCTCAGGGCTATAAAATTTTGCCTGCAGTGAGAAGCACAAAGCTGCACAGTATGTCCCATTTTACGGTATAATTGTCTTTGCTTTTCTATGCAACCTTTCTCAACAGAAAACTTTAAATCAAATTTTTCTTTGTAATAATTATTTTCTAACTTGTTCATCCCTTTTAGCATTTATGGATTTGCACCATTTCTTCTCCATATATTGTGAAATTTATCATTTCAGGTACATGAACAAAAAAATTATCCAATTTGAATTATGCCTTAAGCTGATTAACAGTCCTAATTAAGCAAATCTCTAGCCCTTTGGATTTCCATATCAACCATTTCAACTACTGAAAACTTCTTTTTCTCTTTATTTTAGTTGGGACCTACTTTAACAAATTATTATTCTGTCAGCAAAACAATTAATAGATAAAATAATCCAATGCGTAGTAAAATTATGATGCAGTTTTATTTTCAAAGCAAAATTCTTCAAAAGAGCTCTTTCAATATCAAAAAGTGTTTGGTAAAGGTGTTGTTAAATTAACCCAAGAAAGCTCGGGGACTATAGCATCGAACCTTGGAGACCCATCATCAAATTTCATATCTAGAAATTTACAGATACATCAAACTATGAACTGCTGTTACACTATCACTGTTGAGATTCAAATGAAATGTGATTTTACTTGAGAAAGTACCTTTAATTTTTCAATCAATCACCATTAGCAATCAATACCTCAAGTTTTGAACATAATTCTTATGGGCATTATGGTCACTTCCTGTTTCCCCAGGGTAATAGCAAAGATTTTTGTCGGGCTTCACTTTAAAAAGTGCCTTGAAAACTTTGGAACACAAGTCCATGTGTTCAGACCAATATCTTGAGCTGTCAACAGTAATATTAGCTGTATAACTGTTTAGATGATTGGTAGAACAGAAACAAAAAGTATTTAAGCCCCAAAGTCATGCCTTTAAGTTAAAGCTTGCATTTGCAAGTTAGACAAAGGACAGCCAGTGGATGTGGCGTATTTGGATTTCCAGAAGGCCTTTGACAAGGTTCCACACAGGAGTCTGCTGAATAAGGTAAGAGCCCATGGTCTGAGGGGCAAGGTACTGGCACAAATAGAGGATTTCTCTGACTGGATGGCAGCTGGTGATGAGATGAGTTCCGCAGGGGTCATTGTTGGGACCACAACTATTCATGTTATTAATGAACCAGACAAAGGAACTGAGGGCATTGGCATTATGTTGCAGATGACTCAAAGATCGGTGGAGGGGCAGGTAGTGCTAGGTGTGTGGGTAAAGAAGTGGCAGAAGGAATACACTGTGGGAAAGTGAGAGGTTATGCAGTTTGCTAGGAAGAATAGAGGTCCAGGCTATTTTCTAAACGGGGAAAGACTTTGGAAATCTGAAACACAAAGGGACTTGGAAGTCCTAGTTCAGGATTCTGTTAAGGTTAATGTGCAGGTTCAGTTGGCAGTTAGGAAGGCAAATGCAATGTTTGTATTCATTTCAAGATGGTTAGAATACCAGAACAGAAATCAGCTGCCGAGGCTGTCAGACCACTTTTGGAATATTGTGAGCAGTTGTTCCTTAGCTCGCTGAGCTATTTGTTCTGTGGCATGCAGACGTTTCGTCAGCTTCCAGGCAACATCATCAGTGCAACCTCTAATCGAAACTTTGGTGTTCTGCTTCCATCCAGATTTATATAATCCTCTGGTGTGATGGTCTTGTTGCTTCCAGTTCTGTTGTTTTAGCAGCAGTCAGCATAGGGGGTCTATTTCTATTTGTTTGTTAATGGAGTCCTGTGTTGAGAACCAGGTTCCCAGAAATTCTCTTGCGGGTCTGATGTTCGCTTGTCCCAGAATGGTCGCTCTGTCCCAGTCAAACTGATGGCCCTCGTTGTCTGTGTGTATTGAGACAAGTAAATATTGGTCGTGTCTTTTTACTGCCAGCTGGTGTTCCTGTATCCTGGCCGTCAGTTTCCACCCTGTTTGTCCAATGTAATGTTAATTGCACTCACTGCATGGTATTCTGTATATCACGTTGGGCTTGTTTACTGTTGGTATAGGGTCTTTAGTCTTTGATAAAATTTGGGGGCATTGTTGCTGTAGGTTTGAGTGCAATCATGATCTTATGCGGTCTTCGGAGTCTGGTAGTCATTTCTGATATATTTTTGATGTAGGGTAGCATTGCTAGTGTCTTCCGTCGTACCGTGTTCTCTGACTGTCGTTTGTTTTGTAGGCATCTGCGGACGAAACTTCTTGGGTATCCGTTGTGTAGGTGTTCCTCTTCCATTCTCCGGAGTTTTGGGGTGTTGCGGTGTGATGCTGCTCATTTAAATCGTGTCTTGATGTCCCACTGTTTGTGTATGGTGGGGTGGTTGCTGTTGAAGTGAAGGATTTGGTCCGTGTGTGTGGCCTTCCTGTATACTCAAGTCCAGAATTCTCCGTCAGTCAGTCTCTTTACCATTGTATTTAAGAACGGGAGCTGTTTGTTGTTTTCTTCCTCTGTAGTGAAATTTATGTTTGTGAAGATGTTGTTGACAAGTTGGTGGGTTTCTTCTACTTTTACGAATGCGTGGTCCACATGTCTTATCCACAGTTTCGGTTGGATTGTAGGAAGGGCTGTATGTTCCAATCACTGCATCACTGCTTGTGTGATGACACCTGAGATGGGTGATCTCATCGGTGTGCCGTTGGTCTGTTTGTATATCTGTCCGTTGAATGTGAAGTGCGTTGAGACATAAATCTAGCAGTTTCAGTAAGCTGTCCTTGCTGATGTTGTTGCCAGCGTTCAGGGTCGGTGCTTCTGATTCGTCAAGTAGTGTGGCTAGCGTCTCTCTGGCTAACGGAATGTCAATGGACACAAATGGTGCTGTATCAACTGTATCTACAGCCCAAACTACAAATTTTCACTAAGACCTTATTGTGAGCAGTTTTGGCCCCGTATTTAAGAAAAGATGGGCTGAAATTGGAGAGGGTCCAGAGGAGTTTTACAAGAATGATCCTAGGAATTAAGGGCTTACTATCTGAGCAGCGGTTGAGAACTCTGGGTCTGTTCTCTATGGCGTTCAGCAGGATGAAGGGAGGATTTGATTGAAGCTTACAGAATACAGAGAGGCCTGGATAGAGTGGACATAAAGATGATGTCTCCACTAGGTGGAGAGACGAGGACAAGAGGACACATCCTCAAGCATAAGGGCAACCCTTTAGAATGGAGGCGAGGAGGAATTTCTTCAGCCAGAGAGTGGTTGATCTATGGAACTCACTGATGCAGAAGGCTGTGGAGGCCAAGTCGTTGATTTAAGACAGAGCTAAATAGGTTCTTGATTTGTAACGGGATCAAGGGTTAGCAAGCAAAGGCAGGAGAATGGGGCTAAGAAACATATCAGCCATGATCGAACAGCAGAGCAGACTCAATGGGCTAAATGGCCTAATTCTCTCCTGTATCTTATAGTTTTATAAAAATTTCACCGAAATTAGAAATGGGGAAGGAGAGTTTCCAATTAACTGCCATAGCATCTGTAGGGCAGATAGTGCGCTGCCAATTTTATTAAAAAAAAGTTGGTTAGGCCACAGCAAGATCAGTGTGCAGTTCTGGAATCCATGTTATAGCAACGATGTGATTGCACTGAACAGGTTGCTGGGGAGATTCACCAGCATGTTGCCTGGGCTGTAGAGTTTCACTTATGAAGACAGATTGGACAGACTGGGGTTGTTTTCAATTGCACAGATGAGATTAAGTGACGTCATGGCTGAGATACATAAGATTATGAGGGGCACAGACAGGGTAGGAAGAAAGATAGGGACTTTTCTACCTGATGGAGAGATCACTGACCGGGTGTATAGATTTAAGGCAAGGTTTTGAGGAGATGTGAGGAACAATTTTTTCACCCAGAGAATAGTGGGAATCTGAAAATTACTCTCTATAAGGGTGGTAGAGGCAAAAACCCTCACAGCAATTAAAAAGTATTTAGGTGTGTTCTTGCGACCCCAAGGGACTATGAGCCAAGGACTGGAAAGTGGGATCAGAATACTTACATGGTTGCTTTTGACTGGCATGAATGCAATGGCCCATAAGAGCCCTTTATTTTCTGTGCTACAGACCTTTTTGACTCTATGACGGCTATTCTGGTCCACTCTTTGGAATGTTGTGTTATCTGTGATGCAATACTTACATGGCAATTCTCCCTCTGGTCTTAAAACATAAATGGTTGCTCATGCTATTCCTTCATCTTCTGTACAGCAATCAGAATCCATATATCAAATCTTGAATGATGAATCACTAGTCAGAATAAATTGCTCACAAGAACTGTGTTCATTTCCAACCGGTTCAAATTAGAGGCGTTCTGCTGTACTTGTTCCATCTGGTGCTACAAATTATTTAATTTTTATTTTTGACTTCTTTTTCTTCTTAAGTTGAGAAATGTGAAAAGAATTTGTCTGAAAAGTATAA